CCACCCCTAACACCCCCCTACCCATCACCTAATCTAATCCTATGTCTTCCCTGACGCCTGTGTCTCCAGTGGCCCTTGTGCCTCCTCTTGTGTCTACCTCTGACCCCTGAGCACTCATTGCCACCCAGTGACCCTCAAGCATCCCATATCATCCAGTGTGCGTCCCGAGCACCTCACCTGCGTCTCCACACCGCCTCAGCTCTGCTCCTGAAGCCCCCTGGGCTGCCTCCTTCAGGGAATATGGACCCCTGTCCGTGACACCGAAACCTGTTACAGGTTTCCCCAACACCACCCTAATAAAAAAGGATCACATGACACAACTCACTTGCATCACAATTAAATTGTCTGAAACTTTATTGCAACGTCTGGAGTCTTTGGGAGGAAGTCTCAGGCAATAAGAAATCCTAGCACAGGTCATAGTTCTGGTGGGACAGCCTCTGCGGATTAAGCAGGTGAGTGAAACATTTCCCACACTGCCCATGTAAACAGTTTACTTGTCTTTGTGCATTCGAAGGCGGTGCCTAAGAAGGTCACATTTGAGGGCGAAAGACTTCCTGCACTCTGAACATGGGAAAGGACGCTCACCCGTGTGCCGTTTCACATGTGTAAGAAGGTTTCCTTTCTGGTTGAAACTTCTCCCGCACTCTGAACATGTATAAGGGCGCTCGCCCTTGTGACGCCTCTCGTGGGCCGTCAGTATTCCTTTCTGTGCGAAACTTCTCCCGCACTCGGAGCACGAATAAGGACGCTCGCCCGTGTGCGTTCTCCGGTGCCTGACAAGTTCTTCTTTCTGAGTGAAACATCTCTCGCACTCTGAACAAGAGAAAGGGCGTTCGCCCGTGTGGATTCTCTGATGCTTAGCCAGGTTTCCTCTCCCACTAAAACATTTCCCGCACTCCGAGCACGAAAAAGGGCGCTCACCCGTGTGACATCTCTGGTGCGCAACCAGCGATCCATTCAGAGCGAAACACTTCCCGCACTCGGAGCACACGAAGGGACGCTCGCCTGTGTGAGTCCTCTGATGTTTCAGAAGTTCTGCGTGGTGAGTGAAACTTTTCCCACACTCAGAACAAGAATAAAAATGCTTGCCTTTACGAATCCTCAGGTGCTTCAGGAGGTTTCCTTTGCGGGCAAAACTTTTCCCGCACTCTGGACAGGCAAAAGGACGCTCTTTAGGTTTGTCGAGCTCCTCGCGTGAAAGAGGAAGTCTTTCTCTGTGCACGCTCTGATGTCTGGCGAGGTTGGCCTTCATTCTAAACCATTTACCACATTTGTGACATTGGAACGTCTTGCCACCTTCGTGTATACCAGGAGGTGACTGATCAGAAGATGACCCCTTGGGATTGGAGGGATCGGGTCTTTTATCAGCACCGGAGGCAAGCGGATGCGACTTCTCAGAAGGTTCCTCAGGATTAGAGGGATCCATTGACCCATCTACACCAGAAGGTGGGCGACGTAACTTTGGATGATGGGAGTCCTCTCCTGGAGAACATTGTGTGATGTCATCGTCTTCTGCTTTGTGATCCAACCCCGAGGTATTCTGGACATCGGGATCACCTGATGATAAAAACATTTGTTGGTCACATGACGTTATATTGAGGAATGGAGATGGACCTTCATATGGTGTACAGTATCTCCTCCTCATTTGTTGGTCACATGACGTTATATTGAGGAATGGAGATGGACCTTCATATGGTGTACAGTATCTCCTCCTCATTTGTTGGTCACATGACGTTATATTGGGGAATGGAGATGGACCTTCATATGGTGTAATAATACTCAATGTACCCTTCAGCATTACATAGGTCAGGCAGTGTGATTTGCTCCATACTTTGCTGGTCTACCATTAATAAATGGTCTATCCCACCCTATCTGGTGATTTGAGGGTCTACAGATCCTCAGACATCAATCCACATACCTTCAACGTGAAGAAGAACAATGGACAAGTTTCTGAATTTAATGTTTATTACTCACCTGTGCTGATACCTATAGGAGATTCCTCCTGTTTAATCATCCCAACCTCCTCCGTAGTCTGCCGGTCACCCCCCACATGAGTCTTTTCTTCTTCCTCCTTAACCTCAACTTTCATATCTAACGGTTCTTCATGCTAAATAAACAGAACAACAGAAAAGAATTGTCTGAGAACAAAAGAACCCGAGGCTGCAGTAACAAATATAATCTCATTTTGAAGTAACTGTTGTCTTCTTGACATCTACCTGATCATGGTGGGGGACGGTGAGATCTTCCTGGGTGGGATCCCGGGAATACAGAGGACGGGGACATCTCTCTGGTGGGTTCCTCTTACTGGATCCATCTGTAGGAAACACACACACTGACTGAATACATTGTTTCTATGTGTGTATCAGATGATGGGGGATGTAGGCGGAGCCTCCGTACTGCTCTCTCCTCTTACCCGGTGATGTGAGGGGCGGCTCATTCTCCATCACCACGTCCTTGTAGAGATCCCGGTGTCCTTCTAGATACTCCCACTCCTCCGTGGAGACATCCTGAAAAACAATGGCGGTTGGGGGTAGAAGTTGCTCCTCATTGGTGGGACATTTGAGAGCCCGTACAACATTCTGACCACAGAACTGGAACATTTGATATGCTCGTACAGACTGATCCCTCCTGGGATCTCCTCAACAGTTTCTGGACATACACCCAACTGGAACGTGTCCTATGCTCACATGGACTGACCCTCCTGGGATCTTCTCAACAGTCCATGGACATACACCCAACTGGAACATGTCATATGCTCACATGGACTGACCCTCCTGGGATCTTCTCAACAGTCCATGGACATACACCCAACTGGAACATGTCATATGCTCACATGGACTGACCCTCCTGGGATCTTCTCAACAGTCCATGGACATACACCCAACTGGAACATGTCATATGCTCACATGGACTGACCCTCCTGGGATCTCCTCAACAGTCCATGAACACACACCCAACTGGAACGTGTCCTATGCTCACATGGACTGACCCTCCTGGGATCTTCTCAACAGTCCATGGACATACACCCAACTGGAACATGTCATATGCTCACATGGACTGACCCTCCTGGGATCTCCTCAACAGTCCATGAACACACACCCAACTGGAACGTGTCATATGCTCACATGGACTGACCCCACCTGAGATCTTCTCAACAGTTCCTGGGCGTACACCCAACTGGAACATTTTAGATCCTCACCCAGACTCTTGTCCCAATTCTTCTCACTCACCACCGCTCGTTTCTCTGGAACTCCCGTTCTTAGACCATCAGTCACTTAGAAACCTTCTAGGTCTTTAAAGAGACCCTGTCACCAGACCATTTCAACAAAAATCTTCCCACAGGAGCCTTTCCATGTCCAATCTTCTTTGGATTGTCCAACATTCTTTCACATGGATCACTATCCAATCCATTCAATCAGTACCAGGGCTCCTGTACCACATGGTCGATTTTAGATCTAAAAGAGGTTGTACGATCAGAGGGTGCGGTCACCCGTAGAGTGGCCCACCCCCGAGTTCAGAAGAACCAGTTCAGGCGTGAATGATGTGACCAGCCACGTACGACGCCGTGTTATAGGTCGGCGCCATATTAATACGGGAAATGAAACAACCTCTCTCCGTATTATCTCTGCTGTCTAACGGGACGGGTTGGGTGGTGAATGTAGCTTTCCCATCCACCGGAATTCAGATACAGTCGGGTCATTCTCCTGTAGGCGGCGTTATAACCCGAATGTATCCGCATTCTGGTGGACCTCAACACCAGACTACAAAAAAACGACGGGTACAACTGACACCTGTCATTCTATAGGTTGACGTGCAATATTGACAATCCGGTGCCCCTAGACGGATACGGCGCAGGATGGAACGGGTGGATGGTTGGAAGAACCGACATACTGACCAGAGACGTCTTCCCTCTCTGTGGGCAGCCATAACTCCGAATGACACGCCCACTTCCACCATGTGACTTCCCCTCTGTGTGTGTGTGTGTGTGTGTGTTTCGCGTGGCCCTCAGGTCAATACAATCTGGTTAGCCATTTCCTACTCAAGTCACATGATCATTTCACCATCGGAGTATGGGCAACTGCCAGCATCCAACATGGCCACTGGGTGAAAGCTTGCCAAGCACACGTGACAAGGTCATGTGATCCCACAGAGTGGCGGCCATTTTCTTGTAGCCCAGAGGCAGCTCACTTTCCAACGTAGATGCTGCATCGGACGAGGGTCCCCTCCGATGGTAGAGAGGACACTTTTGGAATTTAGCTCGCTCATCCTTTCGCCCGGCGTTGCTCCAGACATATTGAAGTTACATCAAGCTGCTTTGGCACGCAACAGCCCCGCCTCAGGATGACGGAGGCCATCGGGCAACCCGGCAGTTCACTGTGAATAACGGCCCTAGAATTACTGCAGTCAATCCAGCGTTTTATTTCAAACGGTGTCCCCACAGGAGAGGGATTTGCCACCACTTCCTGTCTGTACAGGAAGTGAGAGATAATTTCCCCAATGGGGACACAGACCACAAATAAAAATCTGAGAGAGGTTTCATCCCTTCTCCATTATGACCAGAGCTAAAAAAAAAAGGCTGGGGTTGGGTTTAAGGAACTTTACATTTCTGATGCTCTAAGATGGAAACATGTGGAACCCTTTTCTGGTTTAGGACTTCCTACCGGGACTAGAGAGGTCAACCGTATTGAACTCGTAATACATCACTTACAGAATAGGGTGGTGAGCGATGATAACGTTTGGCAACCAGAAGTTATGGAATCTTTGGCCTCCTGAAACCCTTAGCTAATTGAAGGTGACTTCTCAGGAGGTTCCTCAAGATGAGAGGGATCACTGGAGACAATTGGAGGTGACTTCTCAGAAGGTTCCTCAGGATGAGAGGGATCACTGGAGACAATTGGAGGTGACTTCTCAGAAGGTTCCTCAGGATGAGAGGGATCACTGGAGACAATTGGAGATGACTTCTCAGAAGGTTTGCTCCATCATCTTCTTGGTGACTTCTAGAATCTTCTTGACACAGTTTATCTCACAGAGAGGTGAAAGCACTACGAATGGTGATGTCCTGTGAAGCACTTTGTTGGTTGTTAATGGCTCACCAGGTAGCTGGTAACGAGATGGAGGACGGAACATGGAGACCACTCCTGGACGTCAACTGTCCACCAGATGTCTTTTTTAAGACTTTATAATCCTGTGTGAAAGAGACAGTGATAATTATCACCACATCCATTCCCAGAATCCTCCTCACCTCTCCGGTCAGGTCTGTGTTTTATGAATAGGGATCAGAGTGATGTCATGTGACCTCCCAGAATCCTCCTCACCTCTCCGGTCAGGTCTGTGTTTTATGAATAGGGATCAGAGTGATGTCATGTGACCTCCCAGAATCCTCCTCACCTCTCCGGTCAGGTCTGTGTTTTATGAATAGGGATCAGAGTGATGTCATGTGACCTCCCAGAATCCTCCTCACCTCTCCGGTCAGGTCTGTGTTTTATGAATAGGGATCAGAGTGATGTCATGTGACCTCCCAGAATCCTCCTCACCTCTCCGGTCAGGTCTGTGTTTTATGAATAGGGATCAGAGTGATGTCATGTGACCTCCCAGAATCCTCCTCACCTCTCCGGTCAGGTCTGTGTTTTATGAATAGGGATCAGAGTGATGTCATGTGACCTCCCAGAATCCTCCTCACCTCTCCGGTCAGGTCTGTGTTTTATGAATAGGGATCAGAGTGATGTCATGTGACCTCCCAGAATCCTCCTCACCTCTCCGGTCAGCAGGTAGATGATCTCCAGAGCGAGGTCTAGTATCTTCTCGGCCTTATCGTAGTCCAAAGAAGTCTGACGGGGGGTCTCACTCTCGATTTCTCTTCTGATCATCTTGTATTCTGAGTTGGCCTGGAAGCAAGTGGGAGTTTTAGAGCAGCTTCAGTCTGGTGGCGCGAATGATGGGTGCCGGTTGGGTGGATTGGTCACCACTCATCGGTGAGACGTCTGATGGTCAACACAGACAATTTATTGTACACGCATTGTGCGTTACATGTGGTCACCGGGAGAAGGACCCCCCTCTGTTCCATGAATGGGGTACAGCGTAGATGATATGTGCTCCTCTTAGCTCAGGTTATCCCATGTGCTGGATTGTCCACATAGGAGGAACCTGAATTCTGAGGAAGCTCTAAGCCCTTCCCTCCTTGGCGACTATAACCCACTCCTCTATAGTCCTCCCCTAACCGGGCAAGCTGCACAATAATGATCCTAGTCACCAGTAACCTCTCACCTCTGACATTCCCTGATCACATCACCATCTAGGAGGTCTGGCATCCAAGTGTGGGCAATGCCGGCATCCCACATGGAAGCTGGGTGACGGTTGGACCAACTCACATCCTGGTAGGTCATGTGATCCTTCACTGCAGTGGCCATTATATTTTTGTAGCCGGTATGGGCTGCCATCACCAAATATGTTCCTTCACGCCACGGCTTGTAAGGCCCCTTTGTAGGAGTGAGTAGGCCCCGGCTTGTAAGGCCCCTTTGTAGGGGTGAGTAGGCCCCGGCTTGTAAGGCACCTTTGTAGGAGTGAGTAGGCCCCGGCTTGTAAGGCCCCTTTGTAGGGGTGAGTAGGCCCGGTTACAGAGTGCCGATTGGCCAAGAACCAATCAGGACTTGTGTGGCTGAGGTGAGAGGACTCTGGTCTTGAGGAGAGTGAGCGTCTCTCTGGATGTCCACTGCACTGAGGAACCGGAAGCCACCATGTAGTCACCGATGGTCACCATCTGGCCCGGTGGGATGCCGGGAGGTCCCTCAGGTGAATGCCAACTCCAAGAAGTTTCATACGTGAGAGGTTCCTTGATGGGTTGAAGAGTCACGGATAAATGTTCATGGCGACTCACCAACCGTAGCGAGACCCTCGTCGGAACACTTCCCATCCAATGTTCTCCTAGACCTGTGGTAGGCAACCTCGGCCCCCCAGCTGTGCTGAAACTACCAATTCCATCGTGCTTCTGCCTCTGGGAGTCATGCCTGTGGCTTGCAATGCCTTATGGGATTTGTAGTTTCAGCACAGCTGGAGAGCCGAGGTTGCCTACCCCTGCCCTAGACCCTCAACCGCTTGCCTTATAATGTGGATGACTGGGGGGGTCATAGAGTATGAGCTCGCCAGCCGAAGGACCTGCCCCACATCAGACATGGTCCTCCATTTTGTAGAAAGACCTGAGGTCACCTGGAGGAGGAGTCTGGTTGTTAAGCACGTAGGCCCCTGTACTCCGCGGCATAACAAGCGGCAACGTGTCACTCATGTGGCCCCGTAGAATACACTGGAAATGTTCTATAGGAACCTGTGACAAATCACTCTTAGGGCCTAAAAGCAGCCAAGTGATTCCCTCATCCTTACCCCCTGTGAGCTCAGATCCTGATGTTATCACCTTTCCTCCCCTTGCAAACCCCAGACACTTGATTTAAAGGTAGTTTGCCACCACCTGCGGTTTGTCAGCTGACGGGTCTGTGAGACCACACACACACACACACAGAATTTAGGCTAGATTGCCACCACTTTCAGTTTGTCAGGTGACGGGTCTGTGAGACAACCACACACACACAGAATTTAGGCTAGATTGCCACCACTTTCAGTTTGTCAGCTGACATGTCTGTCACGTAACCACAAACACACACATATCTGTAATAAATCATTTAAGGACACTGGACTCTGTGTATTTTTCTTGAAGACGTTTTGCTGGTCATCCGACTAGCTTTCTCAATTCTGAAGCTAGTTGTATGAGCAGGAAAACGTCTTTAAGAAAAATACAGTTGCCGTTTTTTTTTTTTAACAGATATACCGTGACCTGGAGGAATGAGAACCTTCACAGACACACACACATAACCTACAGTAGTTTCCCACCACCTGCAGTTTGTCAGCTGATACACACACACACAGATGCCGGTCTTGCAATCTGCATGTGATCAGCCGACACACAATGCAATTTCATTCAGATTAATAACCAAACCATGACCGAGCATACAGGCACTGGTAATAAACTGCAACATGACAGTGACAAGACTCATGGGAGTGTGTTATGTTTTACTGAAATAACTTTATTCAACAGTCAACAAAGAACAATACTTTATATCACAGAAGTCCAATGTATATATATCGTATTTATAACGCGTTTTACAGGCACAATAATGAAAATCCAACTTTATCAGTAAAACAAGAAAGAACAACGATGTTCGAAAGTCGCTCTGGACCCAACGATTGTCCAGTTGGTAGTTCTCTCCGATGGTATGGCAGTGCCGCGTGGACAACGTTTCTGGATTTGGTGCCGGCAGCTTCTCCGTGACAAATCGTTTTGCGTTTCGGGGGTCGGAAAACGTCCCCTTCATCAGGGCTTGAATGAGAAACAATGCGTATAGAGAGGACCGGATGAAGAGTACGATGCGTATAGAGCGGACCGGATGAAGAGTACGATGCGTATAGAGCGGACCGGAGGAAGAGTACGATGCGTATAGAGAGGACCGGATGAAGAGTACGATGCGTATAGAGCGGACCGGATGAAGAATACGATGCGTATAGAGAGGACCGGAGGAAGAGTACGATGCGTATAGAGAGGACCGGATGAAGAGTACGATGAGTATAGAGAGGACCGGAGGAAGAGTGCGATGCGTATAGAGCGGACCGGATGAAGAATACCATGCGTATAGAGCGGACCGGATGAAGAGTACGATGCGTATAGAGCGGACCGGATGAAGAGTACGATGCGTATAGAGAGGACCGGATGAAGAATACGATGCGTATAGAGCGGACCGGATGAAGAGTACGATGCGTATAGAGAGGACCGGATGAAGAATACGATGCGTATAGAGAGGACCGGATGAAGAATACGATGCGTATAGAGAGGACCGGAGGAAGAGTACGATGCGTATAGAGCGGACCGGATGAAGAATACGATGCGTATAGAGAGGACCGGATGAAGAATACGATGCGTATAGAGCGGACCGGATGAAGAATACGATGCGTATAGAGCGGACCGGATGAAGAATACGATGCGTATAGAGCGGACCGGATGAAGAGTACGATGTCTGAAGACCGGACCGGATTGTTCCTCATTGAAGCTATGATGAAGAGGAACCATTTCTGGTCCCCGCCACACGTTGGCTTCATCTGATCTCACATGGGAAGAAGCTTCAATCTCAGATTCTGGTCTAGCAGAACGTCCAATAGCAGCCTAGAAGAAGTCCCGCGTACAGTTCCCTACACGTGGCCATGAGCTGTGAGGGACCAAATCAGTGCTGCTCGTTCAGAGGACCGTATTACTACAATTCAAGCCCTGAAGACCCAGAACTATGAAACCAAACCACAGCAAAAACTTCAATACACGATTGCCCCGCCCCCAATACACTGCAGCACGCATAATGCCCCATCCAACCCCTCTCACAGAGAACCTCCCACAAGTTCCCCGGCATTCTAACGTCTCTCGAGGTCTCAGGTCTTCATCCATCACGAGGATCTCCAACTCTCCCCGATGGATTTTATATCAAAAAGATGAACGAGGACAACCCAATGTGGGCAGTACGAGAGGCGGAACCTGTAACAGGTCCCACATCTGGAGGCTCCAAGCTTAAGAAGAAGCCACCAGAAACCTCCAACCACCTATAGCCGATATGTCACCTCATCCAGACTGTACAGAACCTCTTACTGACAAATAACTAGGATTATGGACTAGTGGGCACCACCTCTGATATCTAATTAGATTTCCCGCACTCTGAACACGAAAAGCTGCCCAGCACCCTAGCGTGTGTGAATTCTCAGGTGTGCGACAAGTCCTGCCTTGTCAATGAAACATTTCCCGCACTCTGAACATAAATAAGGACGCTCCCCCGTATGAATTCTCTGGTGCGTACGAAGTATGCCCTTGTCAATGAAACTTTTCCCGCACTCTGAGCATGAGTAAGGACGTTCGCCCGTATGAATTCTCTGATGTTTGTTGAGTTTCCCCTTCTCGATGAAACGCTTACCGCACTCTGGACACGAATAGGGACGCTCGCCCGTGTGAGTTCTCTGGTGTGTGTTAAGGCTTCCTTTCGCAGCAAAACTTTTCCCGCACTCTGAACATACGAAAGGACGCTCCCCCGTGTGAGTTCTCTGGTGTACCTGAAGAGCTCCTTTCATTAGGAAACATTTCCCGCAGTGTGAACATGAGAAAGGGCGCTCACCGCTGTGAGTTCTCTGGTGTTTAAGAAGCTGAGTGTTGTTAATGAAACATTTCCCACAGTCTGGACACGAGAAAGGACGCTCATTAGTGTGAACTATCTGGTGTTTCAGAAGCTCTCCTTTCTTAAAGAAACATTTCCCACAGTCTGAACACGAGTAAGAAAGTTCCCCTGTGTGTCGTTTCTGATGTGTAAGGAGGTCTCCCTTCTTAATGAAACGTTTTCCACACTCTGAACAAGAATAGGGGCGCTCACCTGTGTGAATTCTCTCGTGAACAACAAGTGAACTTTTCACACTGAAACATTTTCCACACACCGAACACGAATATGGACGCTCACCCGTATGAATCCTCTGGTGGATTGCAACAGCAGTTTTCATAAGGAATCTTTTCCCACACACTGGACATGAATAAGGACGCTCACCCGTGTGACTTTTCTGGTGTATAATAAGGCTCCCTTTCTCAGTGAATCTTTTCCCGCACTCTGAACATGAATAAGGACGCTCACCTGTATGAATTCTCTGATGTTTAACAAGGTTTACTTTGTGAGTGAAACATTTCCCGCATTCTGAACATGGATAAGGACGCTCACCCGTGTGACATCGCTGGTGCAGGGAAAGTTTTGCTTTATCAATAAAACTTTTCCCACACTCTGGACATCGGAATGGACGCTCCCCCGTGTGACGTCTTTGGTGGATAATAAGTTTTGCTTTTTCAACGAAACATTTCCCGCATTCTAAACACGAGTAACGGCGCTCTTCCTGCTTCTCTGTGTGAATTTTCTGGTGGTTAAGAAGGTGACCTTTCCGAATGAAACTTCTCCCGCACTCGGAACAAAAATGGGGACCTTCATCTATGTGGATTTTTTGGTGTCTAATAAGTGATCTGTTTTCACTGAAACTTTTCCCACACTGTGAACATGTCAGTGAACTATCGCCGGTGTGGACCACTTTATGGCTTCTAGAAGATTCCTTGGCTGTATAACTAATGGTTTGGCCTTTAGTGTTTATGACTTACTTGTGTCCATATGTAGAGAAGATTCCTCCTGTTCACTCTTCATAGTCATCTGCCTCTCCTCTATAGACTGCTGAGCTCCTCCCACCAACGTCTCTTCTTCTTCCTTTTTAATCTCAACTTTGAAGTTTTTCGGTTCTTCACCCTAGAGATGACGGAATACATTGATAAATAAAGACGAGATTACACAGAAGAACATCATCTCATATCGGACAATACATTTTAGGACCACATGGTCAATTCCATCCACCTGATCACGGTGAGGGATGGTGAGATCTTCCTGTGTGGAGTCCCGGGAATACAGAGCACTTTCCTCCTCCATAGACTGCTGATCTCTTCTCACCAATGTATCTTCTTCTTCCTCTTTAACCTGAGGTTTGATGTCTTTAGGTTCCTCACCCTAAACCCCAAAGAACATTTTAGTTAGGAGATTACAATGAATGTCCTCTCAGAGATGAAATAATAAATATTAGGTCCCATCTACCTGACCATGGTGGGGGATGGCGAGATGTTCCTGGGTGGGATCCCGGGAATACAGAGGATGGGGACATCTCTCTGGTGGGTTTCTATTACTAGATGGCTCCATCTTGACATTCTTATGAAGCTCCTTATGTCCTTCTGAAAACTCCTCCATGACACCACATTCATCTTCTTCTTCTTTAACAACAGTATTATAATCCACGAGGTCTCCACTCTGAATATGAAAATAGAACATCTGTGACCAAAACAACTTGTGTACAACTCATAACTCTCAATATCTGTTATTACTCTACCTGATCATGGTGGGGGACGGTGAGATCTTCCTGTGTGGAGTCCCGGGAATACAGAGGACGGGGACATCTCTCTGGTGGGTTCCTCTTACTGGATCCATCTGTAGGGAACACACACACTGACTGAATACATTGTTTCTATGTGTGTATCAGATGATGGGGGATGTAGGTGGAGCCTCCGTACTGCTCTCTCCTCTTACCCGGTGATGTGAGGGGCGGCTCATTCTCCATCACCACGTCCTTGTAGAGATCCCGGTGTCCTTCTAGATACCCCCACTCCTCCATCTGGATCTTCTTGGTGACTTCTAGGATCTTCTTACCACCGTTTTCCTCTGTGGTCAGGCGGTGAGGTGGAGGCTCTGTGATCGGTGATGTTCTGGGAAGATAGGTGTTAATGTATCACCAGACATTTTGGAGATAAGACATCACAGTGACTATGGAGGATGAGGACGGACATGACAAGGGGGTTACCGGGTGTAGATATAAAATATCTTATTACCTCCTCTGCTGCCAGTTCCAGCAATGTCTCCTCTCTACTTCCTCCCAACTCACCTCTCACCCGGAACTTCCTCTTGGCACTGTTACATCACTTCCTTTCTACATCTGATGTGACTTCCTGTCTGTAGACACCACTGAGAACGGATGAGGTCACCATCTTGTGGAGAATATAAAAAATTGCATCCTTCCTGATTTCCTTTCGGCATTCGCTCCTTGGTGCATGTTTCCGTTCCTTCGCCTATGTTACACCTGAGTTATCTCTCACCGCGACGTAATAATCATCCGGCAATTGTAAAATGTATCAATGTGGGAATTACAGAATGAGGAACAGGAATTGTAATTGTCTTCCGGGTTAGAGTGTCGATGGAAAAGTGTATATTGGCGTCCAAACATTCTGCCATGGGAAAAACGAGCGTAGGGACACAAGGCGGTCATCTTTTATCATCGAGGTCCTTTCTGGAAACATCTGGGAAGACGTTTCCGATATCTTCTGTTCAAGTCCTCCTGTAGAAGCGCCAACCGCCGAGGATGGAAAACGCCGTAGACAACCACGGGAACTGAGTCCAGCAGTCCAGAAATACGTCAAGATTTCATCCCTTGGACTCAGAAGACGTCGGCCACCGCTATCAGCTGATGGCATAACCAAATGGCACGCTGTCGCACCCAACCACAGCACAGAGAAGTCCTATCAGAAGTGGTCTTCATGGTGGACATTGTTAAAGTGACACCAAAGTCAGGAGTTAAACCGTAAAAATACAACCAAGTCCTTTAACTATGAACAACAATGTATCTTATTTGTGTATCACTCGGCTGGAGATCCTCCAATCATCTCTGACACTGTCCTTCCTTCTGGAGGGGGGCCACATCTGTTCCCCATGGTCCCTGTGTGTGTTGTAAAGTAGTCACCTCTCCAAGCCCCCCCCTCCCCCGGGCTGGACTACAATCTCAATACAAATTAATAAACTAGACATGAGATTGTAGTCCATCCCGGATGGGAGCTTGGAGCGGGGACTACTCTACAACACACATGGAACTTGAGGAACACAAGTAGCCCCCCTCCAGGCTTGGACTCTTGGTTTTCAGTAGAGGATGTCCCAAGGACTGATCAACCCTTGTGGCCTCCAGGCTACTTTCCTGCAGGTGTCAACAGGTCCTGGCCCTCAGGATTACCCCACCAGGCTGGAAGGATGGCAGATAAGTTTGGTCAAAGTCTAAGAGGTCAAGGCATGCATAGAGTAAGGCAAGAGTAAGAGGAAAGAGCACGGTGGGCAACAAGGGCAGGAGATATGGGCAGCGTCAATCCAGGTCAGCAACTAGTAAGGCAGAACAACGATTGGCTCAGTCATGAAGTAGCTGGCAAGAAGGTAGAGCAGCGTCCACCATTGTTGCAGAATTCTTTGTTCTTCAGTTCTCTTTGATGGCCATTGTCACGCTGGAGATAACCATAGGCTTTCCACCATTGTGTTGGCGCCTGTGCCTGATGTTGGGCGTAAAACACCCTCCTTGGCATCTGTTCGCGCCCAACATCAGGGACAAGCGCCAACACAACGGTGGAAAGCTCCGGGCTCCAGTTCTTCAGATCTCCAGATAGTTCTGGTTGATGGCCATTGTCACAATGCCCATCGAACGAGAACTATATGGAGACCTGAAGAACAAAGAATTCTACAACCGCTGGTTTGGCCCAACAGAGCCCTGACCCCGCCACCATAGAGCTGGTCTGGGATTGGAGACGGAAGGAAGTACAACAGACAGAAGTCCGCAGAGGAACCGTGAGGAGTCCTCCAGGATCCTCGTACAACCTACCACATGAAGACCTCCAGACACTCTATGGGCATGTACTGTACCTTAGAGATTATTGAAGAATTCTGGTCCTTTATTAAAAAAATAAAAAAAAAGGACAACAAACAGAATATTGTAATTCTCAGAACTTTCGTTTATTAAAAAAAATTGATTACCAGTCAATAGGACAAAGTTTGAATCTAAATCAAGACAAGTCAGCGCTGTGTGTAGAGGAGCAGATTGCTAGAATGGAATCCCTGCAGACCAATACCGATCACATGACACCCCGAAAATGTTCTATATCTCCCCATACTGGTAATATGTCTACCCACCTCCCCTCCCCCCGGAGAATCTGGAGCTCGTAGGGTTCCAATCATTCCCGGGTATTCTTCTACCGGCTGAGATCCCGGGCTCTACATCCCCACTGAGGCCATTATGAGGAGCTCCTTGTCTCCATGTTGGATTTTTATTTCATATTGTAGAGAATGTAAGAAGAGGAATGAGGACGCCCCAATGTAAGAGAGCCGGGAACTGGAGAAGATCTCACCATTGAAGACACAGTCCTGACGTTTGTCAGGACATACCCCAGTTGCTCGATGTACTCTGCAGTCCCACCCGTTAAATGCTAATTCTGACGTGCAATTAGATTTCCTTTATGTTAGAACATTTCCCGCACGCTGAAAATGAAACAGGACTTTAGCCAGCGTGGGTTCTCTGATGTTTAACAAGGTTTCCTTTAGCAGAGAAACACTTCCCGCACACAGAGCATGAGAAAGGGCGCTCGCCCGTGTGAATTCGCTGGTGGTTCACAAGGTCTCCTTTCTGAATGAAACACTTCTCACACTCTGGACATTGGAAAGGGCGCTCGCCGGTGTGACTTCTCTGGTGCTTCAGAAGTTTGCTTCTTTCATTAAAACCTTTCCTGCAGACTGTACATGAATAGGGGCGCTCACCTGTGTGAATTCTCTGGTGAATAAGAAGGTCTGAATTCTGAATGAAGCTTTTCCCGCACTCTGAACATGAATACGGTCGCTCACCAGTGTGAATTCTCTGGTGTATAACAAGTGAATTTTTCACCCTGAAACATTTTCCACACATGGAGCATGAATAAGGACGCTCACCCGTATGGATTCTGTGGTGTATAACAAGTGAAGTTTTCATAAGGAAACCTTTCCCACACACTGAACAAGAATGGGGACGCTCACCCGTGTGACTTTTCTGGTGTATTACAAGGCTGCCTTTCTCTGTGAAACATTTTCCGCACTCTGAACATGAATAAGGTCGCTCACCTGTATGAATCCTCTGGTGTTTAACAAGGTTTACCTTGTGAGTAAAACATTTCCCGCATTCTGAACATGGATAAGGACGCTCACCTGTGTGACATCTCTGGTGCAGAGAAAGTTTTGCTTTATCAATGAAACATTTCCCACACTCTGGACATGAGAATGGACGCTCCCCCGTGTGACGTCTCTGGTGTATTATAAGTTTTGCTTTCTCAACTAAAAGTTTCCCGCATTCTAAACATGAGTAACGGCGCTTTTCTTGCTTCTCTGTGTGAATTTTCTGGTGGTTAAGAAGGTGACCTTTCCGAATGAAACTTCTCCCGCACTCGGAACAAAAATGGGGACCTTCATCTATGTGGATTTTTTGGTGTCTAATAAGTGATCTGTTTTCACTGAAACTTTTCCCACACTGTGAACATGTCAGTGAACTCTCTCCAGAATGGACCCCTTTATGACTTCTAGAAGATTCCTCGGGATTAGATGGATCTGTTGATCTCTCCGCACTCTGAGATCTCAGATGGATATCTGGAGTAACAGTCTGTGATTGGTCAGAAAATTTCCCAGGATTAGATCAGCGGGCGGCCCTCTAATATGCCTGATTAGAGGGCCGCATCGCCTCGGTATGCGATCCGTGCTGGCTGGATCAGGCCGACGCAGCCCTCTAATCAGGCATGTTAGAGGGCAGCCCACTGGGGCCTCTCGAGGATTTCTCTATGAACCGAGCTCATTCCCATCACCAATGGAGGACTCTCTATGAACCGAGCTCATTCCGATCATCTAAGTATTTCGGACATTTGTAAAGAACGACTCAGAACAGAACATCGTAGGTGTCGGACTTTTTGGTTTATTTCACAAAGTCAGAACAAGTGATCAACAGACAATACATCTTCAATCTAAATCTATCATATTTATTGATAATTATAAGTTGGGCGGAGCTTAAAAATCCAACTTTCTCAGGAAAACAAAGGTCAGTGACGTACAAGAGCCAATAGGAATCTATATACACAGCGGTCTATGGATTCCCGTACTTGGCCGTGTATGGGGCCGTCTGTGTGAGTGCGGGAAAAGTGTTCAGAGAAGATTACTAGAATGGAATCCCTGCAGACCCATAACGATCACATGACACCCCAAAAACTTCAATATATGAATTCCAGCGCCCCCAAATACACTGTGGTCTACATAGCAAACTACATGAGCCTATCTGTCCCCTCTGCCAGAGGCTCCTGGGGCTAAGAGTGTTCCTCGGTGTTCTTACTGGTCCTGAGCTCCCATACATACCTGCCTTGGGTATGAGGGGCTTCCACTTATCATACAGGGCAATACAAACGGAGGAATGAGGACACCTCAATGGGGGCAGATAAGAGAGCCAGGAACTGTAGCAAGAAGATCACACCATTGAACCCTCCAAAAAAATAGAAGCCAGCTGTAGACCCCGCCCACTGGACTCCACCTAGATCTAAAATGGGCCTCTTTTGCCATGACATATCCCTTTTATAAACGCATTGTTATCACACAGTTGTTCTATGTACTCAACAGTTCCACCCGCTATATGCCCCTTCGGTGTAACTGGATTTTCTTTATGTTCACATATATTCCACGCTCCGACCCTGAAAAAGGACTCTAGCTAGTGTGAAGTCTCTGATGTTTAATGAGGTTTCCTTTCTCAGAGAAACTTTTCCCGCACACGGGGCAGGAGAAAGGACGCTCACCCGTGTGAATTCTCTGGTGGTTAACAAGGTCTCCTTTCTTAATGAAACATTTTCCGCAATCCGAGCACTGGAAAGGGCGTTCGCCGGTGTGGCTTCTCTGGTGTTTAATCAACGTGCCTTTTTCATTAAAGCTTTTCCCGCACGTTGTACACGAATAAGGGCGCTCACCCGTGTGAATTCTCTGGTGAGTGAGAAGGTCTGCCTTCTGAGTGAAGCTTTTCCCGCATTCGGGGCATGAGAAAGGACGCTCACCTGTGTGTATTCTCTGGTGTCTAACAAGCGAATTTTTCACCCTGAAGCATTTTCCACACACTGAACATGAATAAGGGCGCTCACCCGTGTGAATTCTCTGGTGTATAACAAGCGTAGTTTTCATAATGAAACCTCTACCGCATACTGAACACGAGTAAGGACGCTCGCCTGTGTGACTTTTCTGGTGTATATGAAGGCTTCCTTTCTCGGTGAAACTTTTCCCACACTCTGAACACGTATAAGGACGCTCACCCGTATGAATCCTCTGGTGTTTAAGAAGGTCTCCTCTCTGGACAAAACTTTTCCCGCACTCTGAACACGGATAAGGACACTCACCTGTGTGTCTTTTCTGATGTAGAAGTAGTTTTGCTTTCTCGGCAAACGTTTTCCCGCACTCTGAACACGAGAAAGGACGCTCAGTCGAGTGTCTTTTCTGATGCGCAAGAACTTTTGCTTTGTCAGCAAAGCCTTTCCCACACTCGGAACATGAGAAAGGCCGCTCACCTGTGTGACCTCTCTGGTGTGTAATAAGTTTTGCTTTCTCCAAAAAAACTTTCCCGCACACTGAACAAGATAAACGATATTCCTCAGTATGATATTTCTGGTGGTTAATAAAATTTCCTTTCCGAGCAAAATCTTTCCCACACTCGGTACATGAATACGGACCCTCATCTATGTGAATTTTCTGGTGTCTAATGAGCTTTCCTCTCTCAGCAAAACTTTTACCGCACTCTGAACACGAAAAAGGACGTTTGGCAGTATGACTCTTCTGGTGCCTACCCAGGTCTCCTTTGTCAGTGAAACATTTTCCGCACTCTAAACATGCATAGGAACGATTCCCAACATAGTGTCCATCTGCAGGAAAGAAAATATTTGAAGGTTTTCTGCCTTCATCTATATAAATACCACGTTTAGGGTTTTCATTATCATTACATTTTGGGTAAACTTTGATCACCTCATGGAAGATCCTAATTATATATTTTATACTCATAGAAGTGGAATCGTGAAATGTCTCAGCGTTCAGAACTTACTTGTGTCGATACTCAGAGACGACTGATCTTGGCTTTTGGATCCGCTCACCGACGTCTCTTCTTCTTCCTCCTTCACCTCAACTTTGATGTATCCGAGATCTTCATCCTAAACCCCGGAGAAGACATCGGGATAAAATAACTTCCAATAACAGGAGATGACACAGAAGAATCTCTTTCATGATGGGAATCATGTTTGAGTTCTGTTGCCCAGTCCCATCTACCAGATCATGTGTGATTATCCGACGTGGAATCCCGGGAACACAGAGGACTTTCCTCCTCCATAGACTGCCGATCTACACTCACCAACGTATCATCTTCCTCTTTGACCTCGGGTTTGGTGTCTTTAGGTTCTTCACCCTAAACCCCAAAGAAAACATATTAGTTACCTAGAAGAATGTCCTCTCCGAGTCGAGGGAATAAATACAGTATTAGGTTCTAGGCCCTCAATCCCACCTACCTGATCATGGTGGGGGATGGTGTGATCTTCCTTTGCGGAATCCTGAGGACGAGAACATCTACTACTGGATGGCTCCATCATGGCGTCCTTGTGTTCTTCTGAAATCTCCTGCATGACACCGTACTCCTCATCCTCCTCTTTGTACTCTTCTTTAATAACAATGTTATAATCCCCGAGGTCTCCACTCTGAATATAGAATAAAAAGTTCAATGTAACAAACACGCTTCTGTATAAATTATAACTTTCGGTGATGGTCAATCATCTACCTGATCATGGTGGGGGAGGGCGAGATCCTCCTGGGTGGGATCCCGGGAATACAGGGGGCGGGGACATCTCTCTGGTGGGTTCCTCTTACTGGATCCATCTGTAGGAAACACACACACTGACTGAATACATTGTTTCTATGTGTGTATCAGATGATGGGGGATGTAGGCGGAGCCTCCGTACTGCTCTCTCCTCTTACCCGGTGATGTGAGGGGCGGGGCATTCTCCATCACCACGTCCTTGTAGAGATCCCGGTGTCCTTCTAAGTCCCCCTACACCTCGGTGAGATAGACGGTGACTTCCGAGAACCTTCCTCACCTCTCTCTGGTCAGGTCTATGTTTTATTACTAGAGATACAAGTTATGTTATATGACGGCCCCGGAATCTTCCTCGGCTCCTCCTGATCCATACGGGTCACTCCTCCCTGTAGACAGATAATAAAGTGAGAATGATCTGGACTGTATTGGGATGAATGATGTCTACACAGAGATCCTCCATCGTTCTGACATCTCAGGTGGCTTCTTTTCATATATAATTGGCCTTCTTGATTTTACTGAATGCAAACCCGTCAGCCTGAAAGCCAACTCCACCAGAAGAGATCTGTGGACATCTGTGCGGGTATTGGTGTTTGTGATCACATGACAGAGAAAGGCCAACAAGTCAACTTACGTTAAAGACCTGGCGTCCATTCTAGAAGAGAGCCAACAAAAACCCCCGAGACAGCTTCATGGAAGATGGATAAATGGCTCTATATTTAGGATGTATCCGGTCTATAAATGGCGGCTCTGGATGGACGGTTGGATAAAGGGCTCTATATTTAGGATGTATCCGGTCTATAAATGGTGGCTCTGGATGCACAGTTGGATAAATGGTTCTATATTTAGGATGTATCCGGTCTATAAATGACGGCTCTGGATGGACGGTTGGATAAATGGCTCTATATTTAGGATGTATCCGGTCTATAAATGGCGGCTCTGGATGGACAGTTGGATAAATGGCCATCACAGTGACTATGGAGGACGAGGACGTACATGACGGGGAGAGGGGTTACCGGGTGTAAATATAAAATAATATCTTATTACCTCCTCTGCTTCCACTTCCAGCAATGTCTCCTCTATGTTCCAACTAATCTCTCTCCCAGAACTTCCTGTCTTCACATGACATCACTTCCTGTTTTTACCTAATATCACTTCCTGTGGTTGTTTGGCATCACTTCCTGTCTGTGCGTTCCACTGACGATAAGTGAGGTCACCATCTTGTGGGGAATATAAAAACTACAGCGTAGGGTCTGAATTCGGTGTCGGAGGCTTCTCGCCGCGTTCCTTCGTCTTGTTTTCTATTTTATACAAATAAATATTTTGAAAATAGGGAAGAAACTAAAATACATTCAAAAATGTCCTTCGAAAGCTTTATTTTCTAGTTTTGGATGGAGTAGGGAAGGATTAGAACCCCTGTCAGGATTTACGGCTATCCGGGGTTCCCTTGGAAAGATTTCCCCTCCCTTCCTGTCCCCCTGAATACGCCCCCCCCCCCCAGACAGGAAGTGAGGGTAAATCTGCAGTAAGGACACAGATGGAAATTAATATCTGACAAAGTTTCTATTTCTCACCTACACTACAGACAAAATCTGTTCTGTGTAGGCATTGGAGAGCTCCCCTCGTTTCCTGCCTGGTGAAGACCGTTGTCAGAGGGACAGGAAGTGAGGGGAAATTTCTGTAAAGGAGCCGCAGAAGGACAACCAACAGGGGTTAGTCCATGACATAGATACTTATGTTATTTATAAAATTATTTTGTAATTGTCTCTTCCTGGCTCCTTCTCATGTCAGCCTACCACAGGTCAGCTTAGCCCCGCGACCCCGAAGGACAGCCACCTAACTAGTCGATAAATGTTTGTACGTATCTCCATCTATATATCTCCATCTACGTATTACTATCTACGTATCTCCGTCCATGTATCTCCATCTAAGTATCTCCATCTACGTATCTCCATCTACGTATCTCCGTCCATGTATCTCCATCTAAGTATCTCCATCTACGTATCTCCATCTACCTATCTCCATCTACCTATCTCCATCTACCTATCTCCATCTACGTATCTCCATCTACGTATCTCCATCTACGTATCTCCATCTACGTTTCTCCATCTACGTATCTCCATCTACGTATCTCCATCTATGTATCTCCATCTACGTATCTCTATTCATGTATCTCCATCTACGTATCTCTATCCATGTATCTCCATCTACGTATCTCTATCCATGTATCTCCATCTACGTATCTCTATCCACGTATCTCTATCCATGTATCTCCATCTACGTATCTCTATCCATGTATCTCCATCTACGTATCTCTATCCATGTATCTCCATCTACGTATCTCTATCTACGTATCTCTATCTATGTATCTCCATCTATGTATCTCCATCCATGTATCTCTATCTACGTATCTCTTTCTACGTATCTCTATCTACGTATCTCTATCTACGTATCTCTATCTACATATCTCTATGCATGTATCTCCATCTACGTATCTCCATCTACGTATCTCCATCTACGTATCTCTATCCACGTATCTCTATCCACGTATCTCTATCTACGTATCTCTATCCATGTATCTCCATCTACGTATCTCCATCTATGTATCTCCATCTACGTATCTCTATTCATGTATCTCTATCCATGTATCACTATCTACGTATGTCCATCTTTATATCTCCATCTAAGTATCTAAGTATCTCCATCTAAGTATCTCCATCTACGTATCTCCATCTACATATCTCTATCTACGTATCTCCATCTACGTATCTCCATCTACGTATCTCTATCTACGTATCTCTATCCATGTATCTCCATCTACATATTTCTATCTATTTATCCAAAATTGACTGCGCTAGGAAGGTGAATAAAATTAAATTAAATTAAAGTACCAGCTGCAACAATGTGTATCAGTGTGATCAGATGTGAACTAGTATGTTGCGCTTGGTTGAAATCTCTTACGTGCGATTTTGTTTCAATATTTCATTGTGATAATGTAATCTTTAAACACATAAGTGATTTATATCATAGAGTGAAATAAAGAATTAAATATATATTAAATAAACATGCAAGTGAATAATACCAATTAATAAACCTTATCTCATCTTATAATTATTTGATCTCTACTACATGATGGTATTAGTGAAAACAGCACATATATAATGTGATTTATATCATAGAGTGAAATAAAGAATTAAATATATATTAAATAAACATGCAAGTGAATAATACCAATTAATAAACCTTATCTCATCTTATAATTATTTGATCTCTACTACATGATGGTATTAGTGAAAACAGCACATATATAATCGGAATGTCACCCGTATAAATATATGTGAATCACTATAAACTATATAAATATAACAAGGTTATATAACAGAGGAAGAAATTATTAGATGAACGGCAGAGTCCAACAAAAAAAAAAAATATATAACGGCCAAATGAAAAGACCGCTATCTATCCACCCTAATAGAGTGGGATTATTTTAGGCATACAATTTCCCGAGGTCAGTTTGTCCTATTTATACAATGTCTCAGTTCGGAGTGTGCTTATGGGAGGAATCAAGTTCTTGGAATCAAACTGCGAAAATTAATGATGGTACGTTGAAAATAACCAAGTATCTGTTACTTTATCTTCCGTCGACGGATCCACGGAGCTCCTATTTTCAGCCTCCGTTTTCCTCTCCTGCATACAGCTTGCTCTCCCTCTCGTTGCCGACGGTCCGCACCCTCCAGGTGTAATTGGGGAGTCCAACCCCAGATAGCGAGGATAACTTGCTACAAACTTGTGGCGGGGTGAAATTGTAATTCTTGGTAACTTGCTGCGCACGTTCCTGGCGGGTTGTAGACTCGCAGCACAACTTCTACGCGACACTTTTTGAATTTGTAGCAAATTTGCTCGGCAAGTCTCCAGCAAGAGTCCCGCAGGTCTTAGCAAGAGCTCTGCAAGCTCGCCGGTCTGGAGACTCGCGGTGCAGACTTGATGTATTTGCGCAACAAAATTGTGAAGCTCGGCAAGTCTGCAATAGTTTAGCGAGTCATTTTCAAACTTGCAGCACAATTTCTTGCTATCTGGGAACCAAGAGAGTGGAGAAAAGTAGAGTGGCAGTTTGATTCCAAGAACTTGATTCCTCCCATAAGCACACTCCGAACTGAGACATTGTATAAATAGGACAAACTGACCTCGGGAAATTGTATGCCTAAAATAATCCCACTCTATTAGGGTGGATAGATAGCGGTCTTTTCATTTGACCGTTATATATATATATTTTTTGTTGGACTCTGCCGTTCATCTAATAATTTCTTCCTCTGTTATATAACCTTGTTATATTTATATAGTTTATAGTGATTCACATATATTTATACGGGTGACATTCAGATTATATATGTGCTGTTTTCACTAATACCATCATGTAGTAGAGATCAAATAATTATAAGATGAGATAAGGTTTATTAATTGGTATTATTCACTTGTAGACGTGTGCGATTCGTTTCGTCCCGAATCGAAATTCGGACGAATTTTCGGACATTCGGATGTATCCGAATTCCGAATTACAGATACAACGAATGCAAACGAATCCGAATTTCCGTTTCCGAAATTCGGTAGCGGTAGTTCGTTCGACCGTTCGTTTCGTTTTCGTTTCTTATTCGTTCGTTGGAGCAAAAAGGAGAAAACCATTTTCCCCCCTCAAATGCCACTTTGCTGCAAACGGACGAACGAAACGAATAAGAAACGAACGGTCGAACGAACTACCGCTAACGAATTTCGTCCGAATTCCGAATCCGAATTGACTTTCACACCCGAATCCCGAAAAACGAAATAACACAAATCCGAATTTAAAACGAAACGAAACTAAACAAATTTTTTGGCAGTGCACATGTCTATTCACTTGCTTGTTTATTTAATATATATTTAATTATTTATTTCACTCTATGCTATAAATCACTTATGTGTTTAAAGATTACATTGTCACAATGAAATATTGAAACAAAATCGCACGTAAGAGATTTCAACCAAGCGCAACATACTAGTTCACATCATATCTCTATCTATGTATCACTACCTATGTATCTATACATACTTCTATGTATCTCTATCTACGTATCTTTCCAAATATCTATCTTACCTCAAATTATCTTTTCATGAGATTCTATTCTTTAAATGATTGTCACAGGGTCAGAACGGGTCATTTGGGGCTTAAACCGCTATTTCCCATTTCGATTATTCGGACTTATCGCATCTTCAGCTTTCATTTCCATGTTGGCGGTTAATCGGCCGTCACTTATGTCCCGGTCCAATACGAGGGTGTATATAGTCGCTCCGTCTATGGCCGCCATGAGGGCGGAGTCACCGGGGTGAAGGCGATTTTATTGAATGCCCCATTTCATCTGCCTGGAGGTGAAGATTATTGTGTATCCAATCCCGGGGGCATCTCATTATCCCGACGTCACCGGGAGAAGACACAACCGCCGATCACCGGAGAATTCGGGTACAAAACACGACTCGGAGGAGAATATTGTGACGTGAAGAACGTTCAACTTTATTTAATCAAATCACAATCATTGATTAACACTCAATACATCAAATCCTATATCACAGAAGTCCAATATATATATATATAAATATATGGAATGAATTCCCAGTATACAGACACAATAATGGAAGGTCCTCTTCATCAGCAAAATGACGAAGAACAATGACGTTCAGCAACCGACCTGAAGAAATGGTCGTTCTGGACCCAACGCTTGTCCAACCGGTGTCTCGATCCATTAGCATTGCAGTGGTGCTTGAACAAGGTTTCCGGATTCGGGGGCCACCAACTTCTACGTGACAAATCATTTCCACAATTTTCGGGGGCCAGAAAAATGTCTTCATCAGGGCTCGAATGGTGAACAATGTGTATAGACCGGACTGGAAGAAGAATACAATGTGCATAGACCAAGCTGGATTGTTCCTCATTCAAGCCCTGATGAAGTGGGACCATTTCTAGTCCCCGTTGGCTTCATCTGATCTTACATTGAAGAAAAAAAACTGCATCTCAGCTCAAATGTTGGTGAGCTTCAATCTCACATCCTTTTAGTAGAGTGGACAATAGCATTCTGTAACTATAAAACCAAAATAGATATCGCTCCAAAGGGGTCCCACCAACCCCTCTCACAGAGAACTTGAGGCTCGTGTGTTTAAGCAAGCTCCACAGTATCCTAATATCTCTTGAGGTCTCAGGTCTTCATCCATCACGAGGAGCTCCAACTCTCCATGGTAGATTTTTATATCATATTATGGAAAATTCAAAAAGATGAATGAGGACAACCCAAAGGTGGGCAGGACGAGAGCCAGGATCTGTAGCAGATCCCACCACCGGAGATTCCAAGCTTTAGAAGAAGCCACCAGTTGCCAAGACTCAGGATAGGAAAAAAGCAAGCTAGTGCTTGTGCCTTCTCTGATGTTCAGCAAGGGCTATCTTCACAATTAAACCTTTCCCGCATTCTTAACATAAAAAAGGATGCTCGCGCGTATGCATCGCCTGATGTTTAGAAAGTCTCTGCTTATCGATGTAACGTTTACCGCACTCCGAACACGAATAGGGGCGCTCTCCCGTGTGAAGTTTCTGGTGATTACTAAGGCTTCTTTTCTCAGTGAAGCTTTTCCCACACTCTGAACACGTATAAGGACGCTCACCCGTATGAATTCTCTGGTGTTTAACAAGATCCCCTTTCTGAGCGAAACATTTCCTGCACTCTGAACACGGATAAGGGCACTCGCCCGTGTGTCTTTTCTGGTGAAGAAGTAGTTTTGCTTTGGAAACAAAGTATTTCCCACACTCGGAACATAGGAAGGGACGTTCACCTGTGTGACTTCTCTGGTGTGTAAGAAGTTTTTCTTTTTCATTAAAAAATTTCCCGCACATTGAACATGAGAAACGATGCTTATCCGGATCACTTTTATGCTGGATGAGATTTCCTGTCACAGCCAAATCTATCCCGCCATTATGAATTCTCTGGTGGCTGACAAGGTCTCCTCTGTCAATGAAACTTTTTCCACACTCTGAACATGCATAGTTGCGGTTCCAAACAAAGTCTCCATCTATTGAAACACAATTATTAAATATATGGTTTCAGTATTTTTCATGCCTTTCATTCCAGAGTCATACATGTTGGTAGAACTCAGCACATGCACCGTGCCATGGGATTGGGAGCAATTACATCACCAGATCAATGCGACCAGATCAATGCGACCATCCCCCCAAACTACACCGGGAGAGAATGTGTGTACAGTGGTGTCATTGTTACTGTGAGAGTGGAGATGGACCTTCCTCCACCTCAGTTCTAGGAGACCTACTGAAGACCAGAGATGGACCTTCATATGGTGTACAGTATCTCCTCCTCATTTGTTGGTCACATGACGTTATATTGAGGAATGGAGATGGACCTTCATATGGTGTACAGTATCTCCTCCTCATTTGTTGGTCACATGACGTTATATTGAGGAATGGAGATGGACCTTCATATGGTGTACAGTATCTCCTCCTCATTTGTTGGTCACATGACGTTATATTGAGGAATGGAGATGGACCTTCATATGGTGTACAGTATCTCCTCCTCATTTGTTGGTCACATGACGTTATATTGGGGAATGGAGATGGACCTTCATATGGTGTACAGTATCTCCTCCTCATTTGTTGGGGACATGATCTTTATGTGGGTTTTCCGCCTTCATCTAGATCAACCACAACTTTAGGGTTTCCATTATTAACATTTTTGGGGGTTACCTTGTTGGACTTGTATCTTTTTTATTTATCCCATGTAAGGTCCTAAATATATATTTTAATCTCTACTATGTAAAATTGGAATTGTGAAATGTCTCAGCGTTCAGTGTTTATTACTTACCCGTGTCGATTTGTAACGACCACGTTGGATTCATCTCCCCCTCCTCCTCCATAGACTGCTGAGCTCCACTCACCAACGTCTCTTCTTCTTCCTTAAACACAGCTTTGAGATATTTTAATTCTTCACCCTAAACCAGAGGAGACATCTGGATAAACCTCCAGTAGGATATGACATAGAAGAATGTTCTCTTTCATGTTTAGAATCGATTTTGAGATCCATTACCCAGTGCTAGCTACAAGATCATGTGTGTGTACAGTTGTGATTATCCCATGTGGAATCCCGGGAACACAGAGGACTTTCCTCCTCCATAGACTGCTGATCTACACTCACCAATGTATCGTCTTCTTCCTCTTTAACCTTGGGTTTGATTTCTTTAGGTTCCTCACCCTAAACACCAAAGAAAACAGCTTAGTTAAGAGATTACATAGAAGAATGTCCTCTCATAGTCCAGAGAATAAATATTAAGTTCTTGTCCGTCAATTCCACCGACCTGATCATGGTGGAGGACGATGAGATCTTCCTGTGCGGAATCCCGAGGATACGGAGGACTTTCCTCCTTCACAGAGTGCTGGTCTACACTCACCAATGTATCTTCTTCTTCCTCTTTTATTTCAGGTTTGATGTCGTTATGTTCTTCACCCTGAACCCCAAAGAAAACATTTTACACAGAAGAATGTCCTCTCATAGTTGGGAGAATAAATATTAGGTTCTTATCTCCCAATTCCACCAACCTGATCATGGTGGGGGATGGTGAGATCTTCCTGTGTGGAATCCCGGGAATACAGAGGACGGGGAGAGCTTTCGGATGGGTTTCTACTACTAAATGACTCCATCATGACATCATTGCAAAGGTCCTTGTGTTCTCCTGAAAAATCCTCCATCACACCATATTCCTCATCCTCCTCTTTGCACTCTTCTTTAACAACAATATTATTCTCCCCGAGGTCTCCACTCTGAATATATAATAAAACACCCAATGTAACAAATGCACATGTTCATAAACCCCAACTACCAATAGTTGTTATTCATCTACCCGATCATCGTGAGGGACGGTGAGATCTTCCTGGGTGGAATCCCGGGAATACAGAGGACGGGGACATCTCTCTGGTGGGTTCCTCTTACTGGATCCATCTGTAGGAAACACACACACTGACTGAATACATTGTTTCTATGTGTGTATCAGATGATGGGGGATCTAGGTGGACCTTTCATATGGTGTACAGTATCTCCTCTTCATTTGTTGGCCACATGACGTTATATTGGGGAATGGAGAAGGACCTTCATATGGTGTATATTATCTCCTCTTCATTTGTTGGTCACATGACGTTATATTGAGGACTGGAGATGGACCTTCATATGGTGTCCAGTATCTCCTCCTCATTTGTTGGTCACATGACGTTATATTGGGGAATGGAGATGGACCTTCATATGGTGTCCAGTATCTCCTCCTCATTTGTTGGTCACATGACGTTATATTGAGGAACGGAGATGGACCTTCATATGGTGTACAGTATCTCCTCCTCATTTGTTGGTCACATGACATTATATTGAGGAATGGAGATGGACCTTCATATGGTGTACAGTATCTCCTCCTCATTTGTTAGGAACTTAGGGTTTCGTCGAAGGTACATCGATGATGTTCTTGCTGTTAATAATTCAGGTTTCTTAATCTTTCCCTTACTGAAGCTCTTGAAGTTCTCTATCATAGACAAAGGCAGCACAGACCATAAGTGACCAACAAAGGTTCACACTCTGTATATGGAAAGGGTTCTTCACAAGCTGTGAAAATGAGGACTAGTCTTCAATTGGGTCTTGTACTATGACTCAGCATATTACTGCATAAGGTGACTGGATGAGTTTATAAATACAAAATATTTGAATGGCTGCCGAAGTTTATAGTAAAAACACCGAAAAATGTGTATTTGGAAATTATCCGATCGCTGTTTGGGATAAGAAAACCATTCCCTGTGGAGGAAAATTGGGCCAAGCTTTATGTGGGGTTTCTGCCTTCATCTAGATTAAGAGCACGTTTAGGGTTTTCATTATCATTCATTTTTGGGTTAACTTGATGGACATTTATCTTTTTTTTTCAACCCAGATCCGAAATATTTATTTTATACTAATGGAAGATAATTGGAATTGTGAAATGTCTCAAAGCTCAGTACTCACCCGGGTCGATGTGTAACGACCACGTTGGATTCATCTCCCCCTCCTCCTCCACAGACTGCTGAGCTCCTCTCACCAACGTCTCTTCTTCTTCTTCCTTTTTAATCTCAACTTTGATGTCTTCCAGTTCTTCATCCTAAAACCCCGAAGATGACGGAACACATTGATAAAGACGAGATTACACAGAAGAACATCATCTCATATCGGAGAACGTTTTAGGACCACATGGTCAATTCCATCCACCTGATCACGGTGAGGGACGATGAGATCTTCCTGTGTGGAATCCCGGGAATACAGAGGACTTTCCTCCTCCATAGACTGTTGATCTCTTCTAACCAATGTATCTTCTTCTTCCTCTTTAACCTCAGGTTTGATGTCTTTAGGTTCCCCACCCTAAACCACAAAGAAAACATTTTAGTTAAGAGATTATAAAGAAGAACGTCCTCTCATAGTTGAGAGAATAAATATTAGGTTCTTGTCCCTCAATTCCATCTACCTGACCATGGTGGGGGACGGTGAGATCTTCCTGGGTGGGATCCCGGGAATACAGAGGACGGGGACATCTCTCTGGTGGGTTCCTCTTACTGGATCCATCTGTAGGGAACACACACACTGACTGAATACATTGTTTCTATGTGTGTATCAGATGATGGGGGATGTAGGTGGACCCTCCGTACTGCTCTCTCCTCTTACCCGGTGATGTGAGGGGCGGGGCATTCTCCATCACCACGTCCTTGTAGAGATCCCGGTGTCCTTCTAAATATGCTCCCCCTTCCTCACCTCTCTGGTCAGGTCTCTGTTTTTATTAACAGGGATACAAGTTATGCCATGTGACCTCCCAGAATCCTCCTCACCTCCTCCTGATCTATACAGGACTCTAATGCCTATAGACAGATAATAATCTGAGAATGATCTGGACTGTACCGGGATGAATAAGGTCTGCACAGAGTTCCTCCATCGTTCTGACACCTCAGACGGCTTCCTTTACAATATTGGAGGCCTCATTATAATTGCACTGAATGAAAACCTGGGACTCTATCCAAACCTTTCAGTTTAGGTTCTGACTGGAGAAGATTGTTATGTAGAAAAGGATATGAGAGGAAATCAGCCCCCCGAGGACAGAGTTAGGACATGTGTTCAAGACTTCTTCTGATGGACAGTTGGATAAATGGTTCTATATTTAGGATGTATCCGGTCTATAAATGGCGGCTCTGGATGGACAGTTGGATAAATGGCTCTATATTTAGGATGTATCCGGTCTATAAATGGCGGCTCTGGAGGGACAGTTGTATAAATATAAAATAACATTGTATTACCTCCTCTGTCTGCTGCCAGTTCCAGCAATGTCTCCTCTAGCTTCTCCTAACAAATCTCTAACCCAGAACTTCCTGTTTTCAATTGACATCACCTCCTGTGTTATTGATGTCACTTCCTGTGGTTGTTTGGTATCACTTCCTGTCTGTGCGTTCCACTGACGATAAGCGAGGTCACCATCTTGTGGGGAATATAAAAACTACAGCGTAGGGTCTGAATTCGGTGTCGGAGGCTTCTCGCCGCGTTCCTTCGTCTTGTTCTTCGCATTTTACACAAAGAAATGATTACAAATATTTGGAATGAATGGAACTTCATCGATATGTTAATAATTTTCCCGCCAAAAGCTTCATTGTCTAGTTTTGGATGGAGTGGGGAAGGATTAGATGCCATTTTTTTCTCCACAAAACATTTTCCAAAACACTATTTATTGTGTATCCATTCCCGGGACATCTTATGATCCCGACACCACCGCCGATCACCGGAGAACTCGGGTATAAAACACGACTCGGAGGAGAATATTGTGACGTGAAGAACGTTCAACTTTATTTAATCAAATCACACTCATTGATGGACAATCAATAAATCAAATCTTATATCACAGAAGTACAAAATATATATATGTTACCAAAAGTATTGGGACGCCTTTACACGCACATGAACTCTAATGGCATCCCAGTCTTAGTCCGTAGGGTTCAGTATTGGGTTGGCTCCGCCCTCTAATGGCATTCCAGTCTTAGTCCGTAGGGTTCAGTATTGGGTTGGCTCCGCCCTCTAATGGCCCCCCAGTCTTAGTCCGTAGGGTTCAGTATTGGGTTGGCTCCGCCATCTAATTACATTCCAGTCTTAGTCCGTAGGGTTCAGTATTGGGTTGGCTCCGCCCTCTAATGGCCCCCCAGTCTTAGTCCGTAGGGTTCAGTATTGGGTTGGCTCCGCCATCTAATTACATTCCAGTCTTAGTCCGTCGGGTTCAGTATTGGGTTGGCTCCGCCCT